TCACCGCGCGGTGATTATAGCGGGATAAAGCAAAGCTCCTAGCCAATCACAGCGCTCTATTTTCGATAATCATCAATGTAATTAACTAATTATCAATAGAAGGTATACATACGAAAGGGAAACCCTTTCTGCCAAAAATGAAGCATCAAAGAGTAAGGGGTTGGACCTCAGGGCGGAGCCCCCTCTTATAAAACTTTGCTGCGTATCCGCCACGTTTAAAACACTATTTCACTGGCAGGTTTATAACTAGGAGGAAACTTTTCATTCTATTGCGGCCATACAGGTATTAAGCGAGCGTTGGGCGGTTGTGTGGAACTGGGCGGAAGAGTGGAAGGAGAAGCTTAACCAGGCTCTAATCGACTGGCAAAATTTACGCGAATTAGAAGCTGCCTTGCTTTCCTGGCTTTCAAGTAAAGAACAAACCTTTGATTTGATTGGAGAAACAGATATCACCAACGAAGAACAAGTTACGATGAATTTAAATCTGCTCGAGGTAAGAACATTTCATTTCAGTTATCAGTTATTTCTATCTATTCTCGACCATTCACATGAAAAACCCAAAGAAACGGTGATAATTTCATGCCATTGATGCTTATTAATTCCTAAGGTCATTTTTCTTTTCGTGTCCTCCTCTTGAGGCCGAGTGGAATAGAAACGGAGTCGAATACCTTTTTTCACGCTGTTATGAATAACAAGAAAATAATGTTAGAATCTATAAAAAATGTTGCCAGTTTTCAAGAACGATTATCAACAATCGTTAAATATAATTCATTTTCGTCAGTTAGGAGACGTTTCCACAGCCCCAGGTTATTACAATATCGGTATAAATAATTGTTAGAAATTTTAAGTGCGACGGAACAGTGTCGCCTGATTTCAGGTTTAGTTAACTAGCATAAGAAACCGGCGCGTCTAATGCGTCCCTCTTCACTTTGTCTCTCAGTCAATGGAAAAAGAAATGGAAAGCCGACAAGGGGAACGATTAGACTCATTGCGTGAGACTGGAGAAAAGCTGATCAAAGACGCTGAGTACCATGATGCGACAGCTAAGGGGATCTGTGACCAGGTGAATGACTTCGGCACTTGCTGGAAGGACATCACTGAATCGATTAAGGGAAGGAAAGCAATGGTAAGTGATGTGATTGGCCATTATAAAGTAACTTTTATAAAGTTACTTTTCTTTGTCATTCGATTACTAAAACGAACAGACACGACTTCCTTATTTGTACCGTACTTTTGTGTAGCGAATTTAAGTTCCAGAATATTTACTCTAAAGTAAATTTTTGCGGGAAAAATGTTAGCGGTATTTATTATCGTTATTATTATTATTATTATTATTATTATTATTATTATTATTATTATTTTTATTTTTATTTAGTTTGTTTGTTTTTTTTTTGTTTTGTTTTTGTTTTTGCCGGAACTTATTTTTGCAGATCGCTGGAAAAATCGCAAACATTAGAACCCGTAGAAATGTTGTGCCGCTCGCGATCGGTAGTCTGATTATGCTCCTGCTATTTATCGGTTAAACAGAACATAATTTAAATGTTCGGGTTGTAGCCATGTAGCAATAGCCGGTCAACTTGCAGTGCTCAAACGACCGTAAAATAACGGTCTGATGCCCAGTTTCAAAATGCTTTCTTTTAAGCATTATTTAAGATTGCGTCCAGAACAATACTGTATTGAGGTTAAGCGAGGCATTATGGATTGGTTTTCATACATAGTAAATAATATAAGTCGAAAGCTTAATATAACCTCCGGACTATGACTAGATTACTGTTCGTGAATTTTTGTTTGTCTATTCGTTTCGTTTGTTGTTGTCGTTTTGTTCGTTGTTGTTGAAACCACAAAAAGTCCAAACAATCTGTTTTTGTAACCGATTTTTACTCTATAGTAAATGTATTGTATTTACTGTTTGCTTCCTCTATTGCGATATATTGCTGAATATGTATATTGGTCAATGTTAAATACATAGTGTTGCCTTACCTTCGGTGTATTGTCGCACATTTCACTCGAAAGAGTTATTTCGAGCGATTTGGAAGGATTTTGAGTTAGCTGTTTACTCTTCCTCTGAGGCAAAAGGACGACAATATACCGCAGGTAAGGTAATATAACGTTTATTTAACATTGGCCTATATACATATTTAGTGGTTTACCGATATAGACGTTACATTTACTATAAAATTACAATCGGTTACACAAACAGGTTGTGTGGGAGCCCTGTGTTGAAACATGGACCACTTTTGTATTCTAGCTTCAGGAAGCCCAAAACAAGGTGAAAAGAATGGGAATTTTAATGAAGGAAGTCAGAGCTTGGTTGGACGAGGCAGAAAAATTCATCAAGCTCGCTAGTTTGCAAGACGATCCACAAAGAGAAACCGAAATACAAGAAAAGATTGAGGTCAGAATAAAGTGCTATAAAATAAGCTGACATAATTTTCAGTTACAGATTACAACTGCATCCAGTTTCTGCGTTAAGGTAGAATAACGCAACCAAAAACTAATTCCTAATTCATAAAGAAAAAAATCAAAAGAAATTCATGTTTAATGAGTGTCTTTATATCTGATAAAGACACGGCTAAACTTTACGTCCAATTTTTTAGACCAAAATAACCCCAAATCGAAATATTAATGTAAGAATGAGTTGATCTTTATTACAGAGATTTTGAAGCCGTTCAATGAACTCGCATTCGTGTATTATCAGGTCCGAATTTTTAAACCTGATTAAACACCCCTGCTCGTTTTTGAAACAGTACTTGAAAACACCAATACCCTTACCGGGGATACAAATCTTTGCTTTTAGTGGATTTGCACGTGGCTAATCTAGCTGGAACAGGGACTCCAACAGAATAGCCACAAGAAACAAAACAAATTAAAAATACAATATTATCTGAAGTTAACGCTTCATGAAATTAAGGCGAATTTCATTCAAGTTGTGTTAATTTCTTGAAACGTTTACTTCCGCGCCTTTAATTAAGTAGAGAGTTATTCCCGCGACCCTTTCTTTTCATTTCTTTGGATACATTTCTGACATTGTTGACACCTAGAGTATTCTAGAGTATTCTATCTGGGTGGAGATGCACCAGTAACAGTGAAACTTTAAAGAACCCTTGGAGTGGCCAGATTTAATCCCTTGACTCTCTTTGTACGTTTCAGAAATTACCACGAACAAAGTTTCCATTTCAAATTTTACGTTTAACTTTGTTTTGTCTTGTCTCGAAGTTTTGTTTGTTTGAGAGCGTTGCGTTAATTTGCGTTTTTTTTGTTTTTTTTTTTTTTACCCTCCCTTTCGCATTAAATTCTTTATATGAAAGTCGTTTTCCACTAGATTCGCCTTCATTCAAGTCGAGTTAATTTCCAAGACCTTAGTTTCATGGAGCGTTAATTTCCTATAATTAGGTATAAGGTCTACCTATAGACTGCTCCGCAGACGAAACTGAACTTCTGGTTAAGTCTGTCTGCGAAATAGCGAAAAAATCGTCGTTCTGGACCCCACCCAAATACCATCATTTGAGTACCCGCCATGACTGGCCTGTTAAAAATCTCGTTGTCGATTTGTCGATCAAGGAAATTTGAAACGTATTTGCGGTAATTCGTTGAGTCCGAATAGGTTCTGCTTCGCAGACGTTACTAACCGCAGTTGGATTACGTTTGGGACGAAGGCTAGGTACCCATATGCAAACATTCTTTGATCTATTATTTAAAATAGCTTTTTTAGTTGCTCATTTCCCTTATTAATACCGCAAATACTTTTTTTTTATTATCATCTCTGCAGATTGAATGCGAAGAAAGAGAAAAATATCAGCCTAAGGTTGACGAAGTCAAAAGGCTGGAAGACTTGCTTAGCAGTGAAATCGACAAAAAGTCAAATTATTATTTGAAAAGAGTCACCAAGCCGTTCTACAAGCGGTGGAATGACGCTAGTATGGCCCTTAACAGATATCGCAATGAAGATTACCCGTTTGTCAAACCCAACGATTGCTCCCTACTTTTTAGATACATGTCTCAAATTGGGATCAATTTGGAAGGGAAACGAGACAATAGTGGGTAAGACAAGATTTGCTTATCTTTTCGCACCATCACAAGCGAACTGAACTATTAATCGAAACTTCAGAGTTCATAACCAGTAAAGTTTGAGTACTAGTATTTTGTATGATCACTTTATTTTAATTAGCTGGTAACTAGTAGCACAGTGTATATGTGGTTTATCCATTTGTTTAAGTCTGACCGCATCATGTTTCAAACATGTATTCAAAAATATGGTTCAGATATTCGTAAATTAGTTTAAAGGAAGGCGTTCCCAGAAAGCCAAATGGTACTTCGAGTTTACTAGTCTACAAAAGCGAAAATTATCGTAATTTTTGCTTTATTATCTCAGGTTTCCGATCACTTAAGCTACCAAGAAAGGGTCCAAGAAAATGTAGTTACTTTGAAACATTTTTCTTTCTTCCGGGCCGCCTGTGTCACTGACTAAAAAATCATCTTTCTCCCTTTAAAACATGTTTGACAAAAGAACTTTAGGCTACTGAACGTAGAAAGTAGCGCAGTTGTTATACATTAATACTCTCCGATACATATGCCAGAGTACCTTATTTAATCTAATCACTGAATATGAACTGACACATGCACTGAAATACTAACACACACCGGTGAAGACCAGGAAATTGTTGTGTGCGGGACATGTCTTTACAGCATTCTTCCTCTTTAGCACTGAGTCGAACACACCGAAAATTTAAGGGTGGGTTCCATTCCATGGTCATTGGGACGATCAGGATCAGGATCGACCATCCTAGATCACTCAGATCATGGTACATCAAATGAGTCAATCAGTCTTTTCCCAGGGTGGATTCATCGGTTCCTTTGATGTGATGCCTATCCAGATCTTTCCAATGGAACACACACAGATTCGTTTTACTTTGTCGCCACTTGATAGAACATGGATTCAAACTCGTTGAATTTCATGTAAACTGTTTTTGGAGAAGAATTTTCTCCTTGTATTGTCTATCGAGTACTCCCACTTGTCCGACCATAACAATATTGACTGGATTGTCTCCAAGTATATCCCGGCGTCTTAGTTCGTAAGATGATCTGCGTCACGTTGTTTCGTCTTTTTTTCTTATTTTATTTACGTTTCTGTTCTGGTGGGTTGACAACAGGTCCAACGAGTTAGTGGATTATCTAAAGACGAAGTTTGATACTGTGGATCAAAGCCTATCCGATTTCGAATGCAGTGTTAAGAACTCAGACAAGGATTCCATGGACTTGAAATCCACTAAGAACGCTTTGGATCAGCACAAGGTATAAACAAAGCATCTTTTCTTCCAATAGAAGTTAAGATACCTCCACCCCTCCCCCTCCCTTAATGTTAGGCGAATTTTGTTTACCTATTTGACAAATGACCTTTTTTGCAGATATGATTGCAAGCTATTCGAAATTGAATGTCATCTATTTCTCCTTTTAAAATAACCTATCATGGTTCAATTTCGCAGTTACTATGCGACATATTTTGCAACTCATTTGTCCAAATAAAGCGTGGCACCTGGATTTTGCGCGAAAAAGCACTGTAATCATGTGTTTTTCAGCGATATTTCTAGAAAGGTCGCTGCTCGTCGTTAGTAATAAATCCATTTGATAGTTTACAGACTAATGTGTTCTGTGCCAATTCGCTATAAATGTCACTAAGGCAGCATTTACACTTGGTACCCAGGCACATTGCACTAATGTGAACACAGCCTTTTTTGAAGTACCTACGCTAGAATTCGGGCACGGTGCCGGTGCCTAAGTTAAGATTAAGCCTCGTACTCAGGCGAAAAAGTGAGCACCTTTAACTAGTAAGCACACTGTTTTTCTACTTTTGAGGCAGTCCACTGCTTTGTTCTCGCTGCTAAGCTTCAATTCAAAAATGGCGTCTGACTGGAATTAACTATGTACATAGTTACATATCGGGTACTCATGGTATGAACACAACACCATTTTGTACCTGTACCCAGACACTGGTTCCCGGGCACAAAAGAGTGGACAGCCCCATAGAAGCTGGTTGATCTCCTTTTTATCTGATTCATGTCTCAGGAGGTACTCAGCCATTTTACGTCAGTAGAATCTGACACATATGATGTTCTGGAGGAAGGAAGGCAATTAATAAAAGACACACGCTTTGACAGAGCATATGGAGAATACTTCTATGAAAGAATTGAAGTAACAGTCATAAGGATAACAACTATAAAGGAAAATATTAACAGAGAGCATCAAAGGTATGCCCCGTGTTTACTGCTTCTTAAGAGCCAAATTTGTATCACACGTGTTGTAACCATCTGTGAAAATACCATCGTCGTTCCTTAGAAATAAGTTTAATAGTTTTTTTGTTGTAAAATATGACTTTTCTTCCTGCAGATGGCACTTAACTAGGATATTAAACAAATAACACAATTTTTGTTCCCCTGATTTTCAGGTTGTTCGATCTATATCTTATTTTACGAAGACAACATTTGGAACGGATGAATGGTTGGCTATTGCGAGCTGAGTCTCGAATATCATTGGATGATGTGATAGAACCAACCTATAAGAGAGTGCAACAGCAAGTCTGGGAGCATCAGGTACATGCATGTGTATTTACTACATAGGCGGTAAGGGAGAAGATGCATGATCGCGGGCCATCACGTTATGCTCAATTAAGACGAAGTACGTGATAAACATTCATTAAGTGACCCAATTCTTAGACACTTCAAAGTGGCTTGCTCACAACTCACTTGTTTGAAAATATAGAATATAATGGTCTTCGCATTATGCACTTAGTGCATAACAGTGAAACGTTTACTTTCACCAGGATTAATTGAACTATTAACAATAGCATATGCCATTGTCATCTGAGACTCCTGCTATTAAATATCTGAAATATCTCTAATTAAAATCTCTCTGATATTAATATAAATGTCTGTAATATAAACTCACCAGTACATTTCTATAAACCTGTAGAGTGTAGTAAATTTGTTTATGGAGCTCCAGTTGTACGGTCAGTTTTCTTAGAAAAAGACGCCGTTGAAACCTAGCGAAATGTTCGTATTTTGGAGGTGTCTCTCCCAAAAAAAGACAATGAAATGATTGAATATCAACAGGGGGGCAATTTTACAATGTGGCCGTACGTGTCCATACCAGGAAGCTCTCAGTCTTTTAAAGTTGTCCGTTAACAGGGAATTGACTGTGTCTTGCAGTTATATTATTATAAGTTGGATATAAAAAGGCTGCACGAATTTCATGTTTATCCACTGCTGTTCTGTAGGCTTTTCAAGACGAACTGTCAAATTACTCAATGGCAAACATGGTACTGGATATGGACGACTTGGACCAGCCAGCTTTGGATGAAAACATAAGAGACTGTGTCAAGGTATTTTCAACATAAAAAAGCTGTATTGTTGAAGCACACCTTCTCCCCTCCCCCCTCCCCTGGGGGGCACTCCCTATAGTGCCTATACGAGAAGGATCCACCCGAAAGGAGTACCTTTTTCTGGCTTCAGGTATATTAGAGGATTCATTAGTATAAGGGAAGGGAATTTTGTAAATTTGGTCTATGAAAAGGAATAACATATGCATTTTACGGCTGTAAATAACTCGAGTCTAGTCATATCTTAAAGAGAGTACATTTACAGCGGTTAAAAGGGGATGCAAAGTTCTTAAAACAAGGTATGTGAAAGGAGTATTATTTGTCAATAGAAGGTATACATACGTAAGGGATACCCTTTCAGCCAAAAATGAAGCATCAAAGAGTAAGGCGTTGGACCTCGGGGCGGAGCCCCCTCTTATAAAACTGTGCTGAGTACCCGCCAGGTTTGAAACACTATTTCACTGGCAGGTTTATAACTAGGAGGAAACTTTCCATTCTATTGCGGCCATACAGGTATTAAACGAGCGTTGGGCGGTTGTGTGGAACTGGGCGGAAGAGTGGAAGGAGAAGCTTAACCAGGCTCTAATTGACTGGCAAAATTTACGTGAAGAAGAAGCTCCCTTGCTTTCCTGGCTTTCAAGTAAAGAACAAACCTTTGATTTGATTGGAGAAACAGATATCACCAACGAAGAACAAGTTACGATGAATTTAAATCTGCTCGAGGTAAGAACATTTCATTTCAGTTATCAGTTATTTCTATCTATTCTCGACCATTCACATAAAAAACCCAAAGAAACGGTGGTAATTTCATGCCATTGATGCTTTTTTTAATTCCTAAGGTCATTTTTCTTTTCGTGCCCCCTTCTTGAGGCCGAGTGAAATTCTCTTTGTTTAAAGAACCAAGAACTGATTAAAGAAATGTTTATGAATTTAAAAAAAAAATTGGATGATTTTACAACTGGGGTGACCATCAAAAACTTTTAATGTAAACAGGTTATTTGTGGAATAAAAACGAAGTTGAATGCCTTTGTTCACGCCATTATGAATAACAAGAAAATAATGTCAGAATCTATAAAAAGTGGTTCCACTCTTAAAAAGATGTTGCCAGTTTTCAAGAACGATTATCAACAATCCTTAAATATAATTCATTTTCGTCAGTTAGAAGACGTTTAATACAAGAGGTTATTACAATATAGGTATAAATAATTGTTAAAAATTTTAAGTGCGACGGAACAATGTCTCCTGATTTAGGGTTCACTTAACTAACATAAGAAATCGGCGCGTCTAATGCGTCCCTCTTCACTTTGTCTCTCAGACAATGGAAAAAGAAATGGAAAGCCGTCAAGAGGAACGATTAGACTCATTGCGTGAGACTGGAGAAAAGCTAATCAAAGATGCTGAGTACCATGATGCGACAGCTAAGGGGATCCGTGACCAGGTGAATGACTTCGGCACTTGCTGGAAGGACATTACTGAATCGATTAAGGAGAGGAAAGCAATGGTAAGTGATGGAATTGGCCATTATGAAGTAACCGCGGAATTATCCTTTTTGTAATGCACATCATCATCATCATCATCATCATCATGAAGTCGATCTGAATCTGCCTTTTACGAACATCCTTCACGTTTTCTTATCCAACCGACAGTCGATAAATGTTCTTACTACCGTGTGGCACGAAACTTTTTGCGGAAGTTTACTTTTGAGGATTGGCGATTGACGTGATTATTTGTATTTTGTAGGAACTATTTTTTGCGTTTAGGACAGATTGGTTTTTCTTACTGGGGACTGATTTTTTTGCAAAAAAAAGAAAGTCCCGGACAAATCATTGATAATATTTTCGTCCGTTTTTATTGAGTACGTGCAATGGAAATACACACTTTAAAAAACACTACCTTTTGCGTACCCTGTGTTAAAAGAATAAAATAGGTTACTTTTCTTTGTCATTCGATTACAAAAACGAACAGACACGACTTCTTTATTTGTACTTTATTTTTGTGTAGCAAATTCAAGGTCGAGAATATTTACTCTGGAGTAAATTTTTGCGGGACAAATGTTAGCGGTATTTATTATTATTATTATTTTTTATTATTGTTGTTTTTATTATATTGTTATTATTTTTGTTTTGCCGGAACTTATTTTGCGGATCGCTGGAAAAATCGCAAACATTAGAAGCCGTAAAAATGTTGTGCCACTCGGTAGTCTGGTTATGCTCCTGCTATTTAACAGTTAAACGGAACATAATTTAAATGTTCGGGTTGTAGCCATGTAGCAATAGCCGGCCAACCTGCAGTGCTCAAACGACCGTAAAATAACGTTCTGATGCCCAGTTTCAAAATGTTTTCTTTTACGCATTTAAGATTGCGTCCAGACCAATACTGTCTTGAGGTTAAGCGAGGCATTATGGAGTGGTTTTGCTTCCTCTATAGCGATATATTGCTAAACATGTATATTGATCAATGTTCAATAAATATTGTCTTGCCTTACCTTCGGTATCTTGTCGCACTTTTCACTTAAAAGAGTTATTTTGAGCGATTTGGAAGGATTTTGAGTTAGCTGTTTACTCTTCTTCTGAGGCAAAAGGACGACAATATACCGCAGGTAAGGTAATATAACGTTTATTTAACATTGACCTATATACATATTTAGTGGTATACCGCTATAGATGAAGCAAACGGAAAGTCCTTTACATTTACTATAAAATTACAATCGGTTACACAAACAGGTTGTGTGGGAGCCCTGTGTTGAAACATGGACTGTTTTTGTATTCTAGCTTCAGGAAGCCCAAAACAAGGTGAAAAGAATGGGAATTTTAATGAAGGAAGTCAGAGCTTGGTTGTACGAGGCAGAACAATTCATCAAGCTCGCTAGTTTGCAAGAGGATCCACAAAAAGAAACCGAGATACAAGAAAAGATTGAGGTCAGAGTAAAGTGCTATAAAATATGCTGACATTATTTTCAGTTACAGATTACAACTGCATCCAGTTTTTTGCGTTAAGGTAGAATAACGCAACCAAAAAACTAATTAATAATTCGTAAAGAAAAAAATCGAAAGAAATTCATGTTTAATGAGTGTCTTTATATCTGATAAAGACACGGCTAAACTTTACTTCCAATTTTTAGACCAAAATAACCCCAAATCTAAATATTAGTGTAAGAATGAGTTGATCCTTATTCGAGAGATTTTGAGGCCGGTTATTATCAGGTTTTAAAACACTCGGCTTCGCCTCGAATTTTTAAACTTGATTATACCCCCCTGTTCGTTTTTGAAACAGTAATTGAAAACAGCAATACCCTTACCAGGGGTACAAATCTTTGCTTTTAGTGGATTTGTACGTGGCTAATCTAGCTAGAACAGGGACTCCAATTGAATAACCACAAGAAACAAAACAAATGAAATATACCATATTATCTGAAGTTAACGCTTCATGAAATTAACGCGAATTTCATTTAAGTTGTGTTAATCTCTTAAAACGTTAATTCCCGCACCTTTAATTTTACCTTTGTTTTTTTTTTACCCTCCCTTTCGCATTAAATTCTTTATATGAAAGTCGTTTTCCACTAGATTCGCCTTCATTCAAGTCGCGTTAATTTCCAAGACCTTAGTTTCATGGAGCGTTAATGTCCTATAATTAGGTATAAGGTCTACCTAGACTGCTCCGCAGACGAAACTGAACTTCTGGTTAAGTATGTCTGCGAAATAGCGACAAAATCGTCGTTCTGGGCCCCCACCCAAATACCATCATTTGAGTACCTCCCATGACTGGCCCTTTAAAAATCTCGTTGTCGATTTGTCGGTGAAGGAAATTTGAAACGTATTTGCGGTAATTCTCTGAGTCCGAATAGGCTCTGCTTCGCAGACGTTGCTAACCGCAGTTGGATTACGTTTGGGACGAAGGCTAGGTACACCGTATGCAAACATTCTTTGATCTATTATTTAAAATAGCTTTTTTAGTTGCTCATTTCCCTTACTAATACCGCAAATACTTTTTTTTATTATCATCTCTGCAGATTGAATGCGAAGAAAGAGAAAAAAATAAGCCTAAGGTTGACGAAGTCAAAAGGCTGGAAGACTTGCTCAGTAGTGAAATCGACAAAAAGTCAAATTATTACTTGAAAAGAGTCACCAAGCCGTTCTACGAGCGTTGGAATGACGCTAGTATGGCCCTTAACAGATATCGCAATGAAGATTACCCGTTTGTCAAACCCAACGACTGCTCCCTACTTTTTAGATACATGACTCAAATTGGGATCAATTTGGAAGGGAAACGAGACAATAGTGGGTAAGACAAGGTTTGCTTCTCTTTTCGCACCATCACAAGCAAACTAAACTACTAATCGAAACTTCAGAGTTCATAACCAGCAAAGTTTGAGTACTAGTATTTTGTATGATCACTTTATTTTAATTAGCTGGTAACTAGTAGCACAGTGTATATGTGGTTTATCCATTTGTTTAAGTCTGACCGCATCATGTTTCAAACATGTATTCAAAAATATGGTTCAGATATTCGTAAATTAGTTTAAAGGAAGGCGTTCCCAGAAAGCCAAATGGTACTTCGAGTTTACTAGTCTACAAAAGCGAAAATTATCGTAATTTTTGCTTTATTATCTCAGGTTTCCGATCACTTAAGCTATCAAAAAAGGGTCCAAGAAAATGTAGTTACTTTGAAACATTTTTCTTTCTTCCGGGCCGCCTGTGTCACTGACTAAAAAATCATCTTTCTCCCTTTAAAACATGTTTGACAAAAGAACTTTAGGCTACTGAACGTAGAAAGTAGCGCAGTTGTTATACATTAATACTCTCCGATACATATGCCAGAGTACCTTATTTAATCTAATCACTGAATATGAACTGACACATGCACTGAAATACTAACACACACCGGTGAAGACCAGGAAATTGTTGTGTGCGGGACATGTCTTTACAGCATTCTTCCTCTTTAGCACTGAGTCGAACACACCGAAAATTTAAGGGTGGGTTCCATTCCATGGTCATTGGGACGATCAGGATCAGGATCGACCATCCTAGATCACTCAGATCATGGTACATCAAATGAGTCAATCAGTCTTTTCCCAGGGTGGATTCATCGGTTCCTTTGATGTGATGCCTATCCAGATCTTTCCAATGGAACACACACAGATTCGTTTTACTTTGTCGCCACTTGATAGAACATGAATTCAAACTCGTTGAATTTCATGTAAACTGTTTTTGGAGAAGAATTTTCTCCTTGTATTGTCTATCGAGTACTCCCACTTGTCCGACCACAACAATATTGACTGGATTGTCTCCAAGTATATCCCGGCGTCTTAGTTCGTAAGATGATCTGCGTCACGTTGTTTCGTCTTTTTTTCTTATTTTATTTACGTTTCTGTTCTGGTGGGTTGACAACAGGTCCAACGAGTTAGTGGATTATCTAAAGACGAAGTTTGATACTGTGGATCAAAGCCTATCCGATTTCGAATGCAGTGTTAAGAACTCAGACAAGGATTCCATGGACTTGAAATCCACTAAGAACGCTTTGGATCAGCACAAGGTATAAACAAAGCATCTTTTCTTCCAATAGAAGTTAAGATACCTCCACCCCTCCCCCTCCCTTAATGTTAGGCGAATTTTGTTTACCTATTTGACAAATGACCTTTTTTGCAGATATGATTGCAAGCTATTCGAAATTGAATGTCATCTATTTCTCCTTTTAAAATAACCTATCATGGTTCAATTTCGCAGTTACTATGCGACATATTTTGCAACTCATTTGTCCAAATAAAGCGTGGCACCTGGATTTTGCGCGAAAAAGCACTGTAATCATGTGTTTTTCAGCGATATTTCTAGAAAGGTCGCTGCTCGTCGTTAGTAATAAATCCATTTGATAGTTTACAGACTAATGTGTTCTGTGCCAATTCGCTATAAATGTCACTAAGGCAGCATTTACACTTGGTACCCAGGCACATTGCACTAATGTGAACACAGCCTTTTTTGAAGTACCTACGCTAGAATTCGGGCACGGTGCCGGTGCCTAAGTTAAGATTAAGCCTCGTACTCAGGCGAAAAAGTGAGCACCTTTAACTAGTAAGCACACTGTTTTTCTACTTTTGAGGCAGTCCACTGCTTTGTTCTCGCTGCTAAGCTTCAATTCAAAAATGGCGTCTGACTGGAATTAACTATGTACATAGTTACATATCGGGTACTCATGGTATGAACACAACACCATTTTGTACCTGTACCCAGACACTGGTTCCCGGGCACAAAAGAGTGGACAGCCCCATAGAAGCTGGTTGATCTCCTTTTTATCTGATTCATGTCTCAGGAGGTACTCAGCCATTTTACGTCAGTAGAATCTGACACATATGATGTTCTGGAGGAAGGAAGGCAATTAATAAAAGACACACGCTTTGACAGAGCATATGGAGAATACTTCTATGAAAGAATTGAAGTAACAGTCATAAGGATAACAACTATAAAGGAAAATATTAACAGAGAGCATCAAAGGTATGCCCCGTGTTTACTGCTTCTTAAGAGCCAAATTTGTATCACACGTGTTGTAACCATCTGTGAAAATACCATCGTCGTTCCTTAGAAATAAGTTTAATAGTTTTTTTGTTGTAAAATATGACTTTTCTTCCTGCAGATGGCACTTAACTAGGATATTAAACAAATAACACAATTTTTGTTCCCCTGATTTTCAGGTTGTTCGATCTATATCTTATTTTACGAAGACAACATTTGGAACGGATGAATGGTTGGCTATTGCGAGCTGAGTCTCGAATATCATTGGATGATGTGATAGAACCAACCTATAAGAGAGTGCAACAGCAAGTCTGGGAGCATCAGGTACATGCATGTGTATTTACTACATAGGCGGTAAGGGAGAAGATGCATGATCGCGGGCCATCACGTTATGCTCAATTAAGACGAAGTACGTGATAAACATTCATTAAGTGACCCAATTCTTAGACACTTCAAAGTGGCTTGCTCACAACTCACTTGTTTGAAAATATAGAATATAATGGTCTTCGCATTATGCACTTAGTGCATAACAGTGAAACGTTTACTTTCACCAGGATTAATTGAACTATTAACAATAGCATATGCCATTGTCATCTGAGACTCCTGCTATTAAATATCTGAAATATCTCTAATTAAAATCTCTCTGATATTAATATAAATGTCTGTAATATAAACTCACCAGTACATTTCTATAAACCTGTAGAGTGTAGTAAATTTGTTTATGGAGCTCCAGTTGTACGGTCAGTTTTCTTAGAAAAAGACGCCGTTGAAACCTAGCGAAATGTTCGTATTTTGGAGGTGTCTCTCCCAAAAAAAGACAATGAAATGATTGAATATCAACAGGGGGGCAATTTTACAATGTGGCCGTACGTGTCCATACCAGGAAGCTCTCAGTCTTTTAAAGTTGTCCGTTAACAGGGAATTGACTGTGTCTTGCAGTTATATTATTATAAGTTGGATATAAAAAGGCTGCACGAATTTCATGTTTATCCACTGCTGTTCTGTAGGCTTTTCAAGACGAACTGTCAAATTACTCAATGGCAAACATGGTACTGGATATGGACGACTTGGACCAGCCAGCTTTGGATGAAAACATAAGAGACTGTGTCAAGGTATTTTCAACATAAAAAAGCTGTATTGTTGAAGCACACCTTCTCCCCTCCCCCCTCCCCTGGGGGGCACTCCCTATAGTGCCTATACGAGAAGGATCCACCCGAAAGGAGTACCTTTTTCTGGCTTCAGGTATATTAGAGGATTCATTAGTATAAGGGAAGGGAATTTTGTAAATTTGGTCTATGAAAAGGAATAACATATGCATTTTACGGCTGTAAATAACTCGAGTCTAGTCATATCTTAAAGAGAGTACATTTACAGCGGTTAAAAGGGGATGCAAAGTTCTTAAAACAAGGTATGTGAAAGGAGTATTATTTGTCAATAGAAGGTATACATACGTAAGGGATACCCTTTCAGCCAAAAATGAAGCATCAAAGAGTAAGGCGTTGGACCTCGGGGCGGAGCCCCCTCTTATAAAACTGTGCTGAGTACCCGCCAGGTTTGAAACACTATTTCACTGGCAGGTTTATAACTAGGAGGAAACTTTCCATTCTATTGCGGCCATACAGGTATTAAACGAGCGTTGGGCGGTTGTGTGGAACTGGGCGGAAGAGTGGAAGGAGAAGCTTAACCAGGCTCTAATTGACTGGCAAAATTTACGTGAAGAAGAAGCTCCCTTGCTTTCCTGGCTTTCAAGTAAAGAACAAACCTTTGATTTGATTGGAGAAACAGATATCACCAACGAAGAACAAGTTACGATGAATTTAAATCTGCTCGAGGTAAGAACATTTCATTTCAGTTATCAGTTATTTCTATCTATTCTCGACCATTCACATAAAAAACCCAAAGAAACGGTGGTAATTTCATGCCATTGATGCTTTTTTTAATTCCTAAGGTCATTTTTCTTTTCGTGCCCCCTTCTTGAGGCCGAGTGAAATTCTCTTTGTTTAAAGAACCAAGAACTGATTAAAGAAATGTTTATGAATTTAAAAAAAAAATTGGATGATTTTACAACTGGGGTGACCATCAAAAACTTTTAATGTAAACAGGTTATTTGTGGAATAAAAACGAAGTTGAATGCCTTTGTTCACGCCATTATGAATAACAAGAAAATAATGTCAGAATCTATAAAAAGTGGTTCCACTCTTAAAAAGATGTTGCCAGTTTTCAAGAACGATTATCAACAATCCTTAAATATAATTCATTTTCGTCAGTTAGAAGACGTTTAATACAAGAGGTTATTACAATATAGGTATAAATAATTGTTAAAAATTTTAAGTGCGACGGAACAATGTCTCCTGATTTAGGGTTCACTTAACTAACATAAGAAATCGGCGCGTCTAATGCGTCCCTCTTCACTTTGTCTCTCAGACAATGGAAAAAGAAATGGAAAGCCGTCAAGAGGAACGATTAGACTCATTGCGTGAGACTGGAGAAAAGCTAATCAAAGATGCTGAGTACCATGATGCGACAGCTAAGGGGATCCGTGACCAGGTGAATGACTTCGGCACTTGCTGGAAGGACATTACTGAATCGATTAAGGAGAGGAAAGCAATGGTAAGTGATGGAATTGGCCATTATGAAGTAACCGCGGAATTATCCTTTTTGTAATGCACATCATCATCATCATCATCATCATCATGAAGTCGATCTGAATCTGCCTTTTACGAACATCCTTCACGTTTTCTTATCCAACCGACAGTCGATAAATGTTCTTACTACCGTGTGGCACGAAACTTTTTGCGGAAGTTTACTTTTGAGGATTGGCGATTGACGTGATTATTTGTATTTTGTAGGAACTATTTTTTGCGTTTAGGACAGATTGGTTTTTCTTACTGGGGACTGATTTTTTTGCAAAAAAAAGAAAGTCCCGGACAAATCATTGATAATATTTTCGTCCGTTTTTATTGAGTACGTGCAATGGAAATACACACTTTAAAAAACACTACCTTTTGCGTACCCTGTGTTAAAAGAATAAAATAGGTTACTTTTCTTTGTCATTCGATTACAAAAACGAACAGACACGACTTCTTTATTTGTACTTTATTTTTGTGTAGCAAATTCAAGGTCGAGAATATTTACTCTGGAGTAAATTTTTGCGGGACAAATGTTAGCGGTATTTATTATTATTATTATTTTTTATTATTGTTGTTTTTATTATATTGTTATTATTTTTGTTTTGCCGGAACTTATTTTGCGGATCGCTGGAAAAATCGCAAACATTAGAAGCCGTAAAAATGTTGTGCCACTCGGTAGTCTGGTTATGCTCCTGCTATTTAACAGTTAAACGGAACATAATTTAAATGTTCGGGTTGTAGCCATGTAGCAATAGCCGGCCAACCTGCAGTGCTCAAACGACCGTAAAATAACGTTCTGATGCCCAGTTTCAAAATGTTTTCTTTTACGCATTTAAGATTGCGTCCAGACCAATACTGTCTTGAGGTTAAGCGAGGCATTATGGAGTGGTTTTGCTTCCTCTATAGCGATATATTGCTAAACATGTATATTGATCAATGTTCAATAAATATTGTCTTGCCTTACCTTCGGTATCTTGTCGCACTTTTCGCTTAAAAGAGTTATTTTGAGCAATTTGGAAGGATTTTGAGTTAGCTGTTTACTCTTCTTCTGAGGCAAAAGGACGACAATATACCGCAGGTAAGGTAATATAACGTTTATTTAACATTGACCTATATACATATTTAGTGGTATACCGCTATAGATGAAGCAAACGGAAAGTCCTTTACATTTACTATAAAATTACAATCGGTTACACAAACAGGTTGTGTGGGAGCCCTGTGTTGAAACATGGACTGTTTTTGTATTCTAGCTTCAGGAAGCCCAAAACAAGGTGAAAAGAATGGGAATTTTAATGAAGGAAGTCAGAGCTTGGTTGTACGAGGCAGAACAATTCATCAAGCTCGCTAGTTTGCAAGAGGATCCACAAAAAGAAACCGAGATACAAGAAAAGATTGAGGTCAGAGTAAAGTGCTATAAAATATGCTGACATTATTTTCAGTTACAGATTACAACTGCATCCAGTTTTTTGCGTTAAGGTAGAATAAGGTAGAATAAGGTAGTTGCTCATTTCCCTTATTAATACCGCAAATACTTTTTTTGTTATTATTATCTCTGCAGATTGAATGCGAAGAAAGAGAAAAAAATCAGCCTAAGGTTGACGAAGTCAAAAGACTGGAAGACTTGCTCAGCAGTGAAATCGACAAAAAGTCAAATTATTACTTGAAAAGAGTCACCAAGCCGTTCTACAAGAGGTGGGATGACGCTAGTATGGCCCTTAACAGATATCGCAATGAAGATTACCCGTTTGTCAATCCCAAAGATTGCTTCTTGGTCAAATGTCTCAAGAAAGCCCTAGTAGTAAATTAAACTTATTTAGATGCGGAAATAGGAACTGCGCCCCTCAAAAAAGATTCCATTTTTCGTAGATTAGCTAAAGCGCAAATTGTTTATTTAAAACCTATTCTTAAGTAACAGGGGAAACAATTCAAGATTCGATAGCTGTAGGAAACGGAGCTAAGAAACAGAGCTAGCTATACTGTAGTGATAGGATAACATCGATCCATATCCTCAAAATCCTTCCAAAATCTAAGAATTTAAACACAAAAAAACTCAGAACCAAACCAGAGTACTTAGGCCTCTTCAACGCGCCCCAATTACATCCGCTCCTAGATGAGGAAATGCAACGGATTCCAGGCGGGATGGGAGCAGAAAGATTCACTGGCAAGTGGGGGGAATTCTTAGTCTACCGTTAGTGTTTATTCCTTGAGAATGAATTGTGTTTTCTAAATGGATAAATCTGCTACTCTCTGTCTTGATATGAAGGCCTGGGGTTCGCTCACACCCGGTGGAGTGTGAAGCTAAAATCAGTATTTCATCCAAAAAACAAAATGAAAACTTGCAGAAAAACCCCAGAACGAGTACGTGAACAAAAGGTTTTTGTTTTTAAAAAAATGTTATTACATGAGAAAAAAAATAAGGTCTGGGTAATCTTTTCTCCGTCCTCAAACAAACTATGCAGCCCTTCTGGGGGGCGAGGGATCATAAAAAAGTAATTTGATATCTGCAAGATGTAATGTTTCCTGCCAGTAGATCTACATTGTATACATATTGTGGAGCATATTAAGGACGCTTAGCAATAGATATCGCATTGATCTGCTCAGTTTGACTCCTTTTTTTGTCTGCAAAGACATTTGAGCATAGTTAGTGGCCGAGAGGGGTCACCTCTATTAGCAATGATTTGAGAGAGCAAGAAATATATAGCGCTTGCCTGCCGACAATGTTTCCAGCATAAATGACAAATTTGCCCAAAAAAGAGAATTAAGATCTAATTGATTAGAAACAGTTTATGACACATGGCCTTATATTGAAAATAAAGGAAAGACATTCATATCGACACGATTTGACGGTGTGAGTTATTTCAAAATTCGAATGCATTAGAGCTCCCGAAACGGAAGTTAGGAGGCCGCCTTTTCGAGATCTCAGCACCTTAGTTAAAAGGCAACAAAAATCAACTTTTTGATTACATGACAACCGAGCCAGCTTTGTTAGCTGGGATCCATTATGATGCAAGAGTCTCGTCTAACCAGATTGGAAATTTTCCATGTACATGTAATACCACTTTTACCAACTAGGCCAGCCCTGTGAACCAAACCAGGGGACCGGTTTCTCGAAAGACCTGGAAAGTTTTCTGGCGCGAAAGCAAATTTTAAAATCACAACCTGTTGAACAGTAGCACAGTTCCTAGCCTACAAACCAGTCAATTTTGTATTCGTTAACTGATAGTTTCATTGTATTATTTTCAAAATTATTGGATTTTTGATCTTGAATGCACGACAAAAAAGGTTTCGGGGCCCGAAAAGATTCCGGGACTTTCGAGAAACAGACCACAGCAGCGAGAAAAACTACTCATGCGCTTGAATACCTGTACTCTCTGTGTTAAAATTTGAAGTCCTGGCTAGCCCTCTTCATGTACAGAATACCAGGATAAAAGTCACGGCTCGGCAAGGTGAGCTAGAATTGTTTGTATAATGAGGCTTTATGTTTAAAATGAGCGCGAAGAGTTTGGTTTCTGTGCTCTGTCGCGTAATTGTCACGTGCAACATATATGTTACATGAGCCTAAAAAAGTGGCGATGTATGGCAGGTCGCACGCAACAGCAAAGATTGAACCTCGCTCAATTTTACTGTTACGCGCGGCTTTTCACACATTGCTTCTATTCCATTTACGCACGTAAATTTTACGCAAACATTAAGCGACAGAGGAAATCCACCCTTTGGTTATGACAATATTTAGATTCATTTGGGCAGAACTTTTGACTAATACCTTCATGGAGGGACGAGATGTACTCATTTCAGTTTGAGCAAGTAGGCAGTTTGCGAAGTGGTTTCATGGAATCGATCTGCCATCTAGCGTTACGTGGCTTGGCATTGATGTGGGAAGACAGATATATGGCCGCACAATCTTTAAAACCCCGTCCACACTAATGCGTTTTCGTTTGAATGACGTAAACATTTCGATCCATTAAGGCCTCCCGTCCACACTGATACGCTGAGCGTTTTCATCGAAAGCGCATCGATTTAAAAATGCCCTCGAAAATTGATCAAAACGAAAACGCATACATATCGTATTAGTGTGGGAGGTCGAAAACGTATCAAAACAGTGTCGTGTACGTGAATCGATCGATGCGTTTTCGATGACAACGGAAACGCAAACTTTTGAAAACGCATTAGTGTGGACAGAGCCTAAGACGTAAACGATCCGTAGGGTGTAACTAGCGATAGATTGTAATAGTGGCGATGCGAAATCGCAACACGTTTTTTTGTTGTTTTATTGTTGCTGTTGTTGCTACTGTTGTCTGTCTTTCTTTTTTCTTGAAACTGTACTACGCAAGTTAAGTTTTTTATTTTTCACAACTTTCATATATGAATGTTTTCTTCACAAAACCAATCATTCAACAATCAGAAATAAAATAGCCGTAATTTGCGATTCGCTATTGTCAACCACCTCCTTTTAAATTACCGCTTTTATTGGAACCACACCCCAGGGAGTTGTTTTTAAATTCCCTGATGCAATGCAACTCCTTTGTTGAGCTTTTTTGACAGGTGGTGTGATAAAACACCTAATTGTTGCCCGGCCAATCAAATCTTAGCTCGCTTACAACAGGTGCGTTGTTTGTCGAATAACGCAGGGCGTTTCACGTGCTGCAAGGTGTATTTAAAAGCAGCCTGCACTTTAGTTGTTATTTATTCACCTACTCAAAGTATATATCACAAGACAAGGTCGTATTTCACAAACTGCAATTTTTAACACTTCAAAAGATCGCTAAAGCTCAAGTAAGAGAAAAAATGAAAGGAGTTAGTCAACGCCGTCGACTCATCAACAACATCGAGTACTACCTGGACGAATATGATTATTATAATTTCGACCCTGCAGCCATAACAGTGAGCCATTCTCGCAAAGGAAGATCAAAAAGGGAAGCAAGTTTGAACACTAACAGACCATGCCCAGCCGGCCACGAAAGGAAAATGCTGAGCAAACTTCAAAATACGGAGAAGAAGAGAAAAGCAATGAACTACAGAGCCTCTGGAAAGTAAAATTGGCTTTTTTCCTGGAGGAACTAAGAAATCCGTGAAGGATCTTCGTCATACTGCATCAAGAGTAAGGATTGCTTAATACAAACTGGTCGATGAATATAACTTTTCGACATGTTGTGAGCTCTAATGAAAGCACAAGGCGAGCATATAGCGTTGTGCCGCACACCCCTTTTGCGTGTTTTTAAGTCTTCTGCTGCATAAAACATTGTCAATGGTGCACAATGTATCTGATCGCACGAACAACACACTTAAATTTATGAAACGTGTTTCCTCTACGATTATCCTAAACTGTTTATGTTCCAAATACGTTGCATGTGAAGAAATGATCCACGCTAGCTGGTACCCGCAGGGAGCTGAGGCACATGTCGTAGAACTAATTATACATCGTACTATTTCAGTGACTAAATAAAGTTAGAAAATTTGTTAAGATTGAATATTGTGCTGAAAAACAATTATCTAACCGAAATGCTGTTGTATTTACAAGATGCAGGAGTTCTCGGGCATATGCCTTTGTCTGCTTTGTATTTGTTGACATCACTGTAAAAGAACAAAGCATCTACCTGCCATGATTTTACCTAAAAATGTGATTTTGATACGAAAAGGTGAATTGATTTTCAACAGAAAACCGTTGCAACGAGCCCTGCGAAGATTCTAGCGTAATTGTTGAGGTAAATTTTTCATTAACTATGCCGTGTCAAATGGTCTGGGCTTGTCGTCATAAAACTGTGTGAACTTAAGATTTAAGCTCAAGGTAAAACTCAGTAATGTTATATGACTCGGTATCATGATTACAGTTGAATACAAACCGAATTTATTTACTGAAATGATAACAAAGACGCTCTGAAATACCTTCAGGTAAGACAAATATGTCAATAATGTTGTATCACAACAGTTAAACGTGGCTTAAACACAGAAATATCTATACCCTTGCATCTTTTGAGTACGTAAGATAGAGGATCCACAAAAAGAAACCGAGATACAAGAAAAGATTGAGGTCAGAGTAAAGTGCTATAAAATATGCTGACATTATTTTCAGTTACAGATTACAACTGCATCCAGTTTTTTGCGTTAAGGTAGAATAAGGTAGAATAAGGTAGTTGCTCATTTCCCTTATTAATACCGCAAATACTTTTTTTGTTATTATTATCTCTGCAGATTGAATGCGAAGAAAGAGAAAAAAATCAGCCTAAGGTTGACGAAGTCAAAAGACTGGAAGACTTGCTCAGCAGTGAAATCGACAAAAAGTCAAATTATTACTTGAAAAGAGTCACCAAGCCGTTCTACAAGAGGTGGGATGACGCTAGTATGGCCCTTAACAGATATCGCAATGAAGATTACCCGTTTGTCAATCCCAAAGATTGCTTCTTGGTCAAATGTCTCAAGAAAGCCCTAGTAGTAAATTAAACTTATTTAGATGCGGAAATAGGAACTGCGCCCCTCAAAAAAGATTCCATTTTTCGTAGATTAGCTAAAGCGCAAATTGTTTATTTAAAACCTATTCTTAAGTAACAGGGGAAACAATTCAAGATTCGATAGCTGTAGGAAACGGAGCTAAGAAACAGAGCTAGCTATACTGTAGTGATAGGATAACATCGATCCATATCCTCAAAATCCTTCCAAAATCTAAGAATTTAAACACAAAAAAACTCAGAACCAAACCAGAGTACTTAGGCCTCTTCAACGCGCCCCAATTACATCCGCTCCTAGATGAGGAAATGCAACGGATTCCAGGCGGGATGGGAGCAGAAAGATTCACTGGCAAGTGGGGGGAAT